AGTGATAGTCCGATCGGTAAGTTAGTGCTATAATAAATGCGTAATTAATGAATCTACCTGTTTTTTACTTTGACTTGTATTTATAATTTTGGTTATGGACCTTGATTAACGAAGCCTTAATCACGACCCAAATAGGACTTAATTATCCTTAATCAGTGTTTTACCTTAATTATGTCGGAAAATATCTTCCTCGACCGGTCGGCCATTCGTGCCTCGGTTGGACGTCCAGTATCATCAGTTTTGGAGGCATCTTCCCGACCAGTCGACCTTGTCGCTTGTGCCTCGGTCGTCTGGGACGTCCGGTATCCCTAGTACACTTATGTATCAAATTACTTAGGAAACCTCACTCCAATATCTATTCCTAATTATGAAATCAAACAACTGAGCCTTAAATATTTCCATCACTTGCTGCATATCGCCAGAGGCTCTCCATTTATTAACATCACATTAAACACAATTAACTATGACAAAGTTATTTATGCTAACTTTTCACTTGAGCAATTAACCACTTTCACTTAAACAATTAACAAACACAACAAATCTACCTCTTAATAAAATAACTACTGCCAAAAATATAATTAAATACATGATAGATATAACCATATATCTTCTAAGACAAAAAGTAACAAGTAAAACTTAACCAAGAAAACTAACCACAATTTGTATAACTATTGATAGATATATTTGTTTTTAGTGATAAGCTTACTCAAGTGTCTATAATTCATATATAATCTATAACTATCATTCTTCTTTAGTTAATAACTACAAATAAAAAAAAGTATATAATTCATAACTACCATAACTAAAGGGGCTTCCCCTACGCATCCATAAAAAGTAAATGCATGAACGAACGCTCCTACAAAAGAGTAGGCCAACAACTGACCGAGCGTCCTAAGGTTCGACCTTCACGTTCGTCTCTTCCAATGCTTCTTCCAGCAACTCTTCTCCTTCTACTCCCACCCACAGGGTGATCATCGCAATGCAAGGACGAACGAACAGGAATACATGACAAGACAGAAATAGGGTAAGCTTATGTAATTTAATTCAAGTATCAAATATATTTCACACAATCAACTAAACAAGATAAATCATTAACTCTTTCATGCAAAGCCTAATACTAGACTCTGACTGTCCGGACTGTATGAATTCTGTGTAGCTACGACGTTCGTGCACCCGGGTGATGTAGTAATTAGGATACCCTCAACAGCTGCCACCCGAGGTTAGTCCTATCTGTCCAAATTAACCATAAGGACTATGACCTCCTGCCATTCCCACACATGACTTACCCTTCTCTACGTGAGAAACTAGTAATCACGGAATATCAAGATGAATTGTCAGCTTAGCTTTATCCACATTCATACTTTACCAATTTCCAATATTCATTCATGAGATATTCCTCCCCGAAATACTCTTTCATAATCAAAGTCATTTCATCCATATCATATTCCATCATCTTTCATCATTAAAACTTCAACTTAACCAATTTGAATAAAGATCTCGTAGGATACCAAACGTTAGTTTTTAACCCAAAACGAGACTGAAAACTTGGAGTGAGACCGAGATGTCTCCAACTCAAAACTAATCAAATCGAGAGAGTTACTCACTTGTTGTGAAAGGGACCGAATACAATAATACTTCTCAGAGACCAATATAATTGAACGTTATTTTCCAAGTGAGCCAATTTAGTGAACTGACTCTTGAGATTTCAAACCGAACACCGTAAAGCCTAGGCTGAGTACTAAGACTATAGGCCGAAACCAATTAAGACAGATATTGTAGGACATCAAATAATAGCACTTGACGGAATCATATGAAGAAACCAAATGCCAATAAATACTTAGCTTCTTAATAAGTTAAACATCAAGGAAACCGAATGTCAGTCGAAGACCGGGCACTGTAGAGAGCAAATGCTATTGAGTTTGGATGAACGCTCTTATTATAAAGATAGATTACGGAAATAAGAACTAGCGCCTGATGTAAGACCGAGCACTTACTTAGTACGAGCGCTTTGTGTAAGACCGAGCACTACTTAGTACGAGTACTTGGTGTAAGACCGAGCACTACTTAACTTATAGAATAAATGCTTGATAAATATAAGATATCATTTAACTAATGTTCAAGAACGAACGAAATATACAAATACATATAGATATACTGAAGTTTATAATCAAATACCAAGGAACGAATATCCTTGGTTGAATGCTTAAGTACAAATATTACAAAACGAAACGAAGACGCTAGTCTTCAACTAGAATTCTCTCTAAATGAAAGAATCCAGTTCCAACCGAGTCCACAAGAAAATCGAACACTATATCGAACGAACGCTGGTCTAATACCAAACAATTATTAAGAACGAACGCTATTGAGAACGAACGTTGGAATAATTGAATGATCAATACTGACTCTCGACAACATGGTCTAATACCAAACACTTATTAAGAACGAACGCTACTGAGAACGAACACTTGTATAATTGAATGGTTAATACTGACTCTCGACAACATGGTCTAATACCAAACACTTATTAAGAACGAACGCTATTGAGAACGAATGCTTGTATAATTGAATGGTCAATACTGTCTCTAGACAACATGGTCTAATACCAAACACTTATTAAGAACGAACGCTACTGAGAACGAACGCTTGTATAATTGAATGGTCAATACTGACTCTCGACAACATCCCTACCCATTTCATGGCTTTCATTAATCATCAATACTTTTAAACAACATACCATATTTCATCATCAACCAAATAATCAAACACAATATCATTCCAGTTTCTCATCGCTTAGATTCATATACTTATACAGCCAACAATGCAGTAACAACCATATTTCATATTCATTCAGCAATCAACGAACATGCATCCATTCAAAGCAACAAAATAAATCAAATTATATAAGCTTCCCTTACCTCTAAGCTAGCCGAAATCAAATTATACCACACGGCTGAGGGAAGAGAGAACATACCAACTCAGAACCCAAAACCGATCGGCTCAAACGGAAGCCCTTGACACCGGAGGAGTAAAAACGGTGCCTGAATGGTGATCGGAGGAAGAAAATGTGAGAATTTCTTAGAGAGAAGATGAAGGAGATGTAGAGAGAAGGAGGAGAAAATGGATTTTCAGTAGGTGGAAAACGATGGTTGCATGCAGAGGGAAGAGAGAACATACCAACTCAGAACCCAAAACCGATCGGCTCAAACGGAAGCCCTTAACACCGGAGGAGTAAAAACGGTGCCTGAATGGTGATCGAAGGAAGAAAATGTGAGAATTTCTTAGAGAGAAGATGAAGGAGATGTATAGAGAAGGAGGAGAAAATGGATTTTCAGTAGGTGGAAAACGATCGTTGCATGCAGAGAGTGGCGTAAATTTTGAAACTTTGAGTTTTACTTCTACCTTCCACACACCTATCTTCCACTATCTGATTTTCAGACATCCCTTCCTTGACATTTGTAATCCACTATGTAAGAGTTTTTAATGGTTTTAAATGGATTCTGACAAACTCTAAAACTCACGTAATTTTAAAATTCGATAAATTTAATTAAAAAATTCACCGAGTTTCAAAATCTAATATTTATTTATCTCAAATTTTGAAATCCAATATATATTACTCTTCAATTTTAAAATCCAATATTTATTTCCTTCCAATTTTGAAATCCAATATTTATTTCTCTCGATAAATCTACAATTTTTTATATATTCATTTAAATTAACATAAATTAAATATGTTGAATAATTTTAATTTAATAAAAATTCAAATAAAATTTATTAAACATTATAATTAGTTTAATTTAATAGTTTAATATAATTTATGTTAATATTTTAATATTTTAACATATAGTTTATTAAAAGAAGTAAAACACATTTAAAAAATAAATAAAAACAAAAACATTTTAAAATAAAAATAGACAAAAAATAATAAAATCAATACTAAATTTCAAAATTCAAAAGTGTTCATTAGATTATTTTGAAATTTAAGAAAGTAAAAAGAATGAAAGTAAATGTATGAAATCATTAAAAGAGAGAAAAAAAATATCCTTATCATAAAGAATAATTTAGATATTAAAAGGAAGTTTAGAAGTTTAAGAAGAAACTTAAAAGCACAATTATTGTTAAACAAGCTAAAACCCAATAAAAACACTTTCTTTTCGTTCTTCCCATTGTTTCTCTTTTCAAAAACTCCAAATTTCCCCTTTTTCTTCATTCTCATTTTATTGTCTTTTAGTGACTTATGACTCCACAAATATTAATAAAAAGGGTATTGCATTTTTTACCAGGTATTTAGTTTTCAATTTTATTTGAAAAATGACAAGAATTATACTAAATTTTTTTTTTATGATTTTAACTAGAAATCATGGACTACTTGATTTAAAGCCGGAACATAATATTTCTCACTGACATCTCGAATTTTACATACTAAAATAGAATCACTCACCTTATTTTCTAAATAGTATTTTTAATATTCAATCTTTCACGCCTTCTCAACCAAAACTTTCTTCAATCAATTTAATATTTTTAATTCATCTACGCTTCAAATCCACGTATCTATCCTCTTTTACATTCCCCTCGAATACAAAATTAATTAATATTTGGAAAGTAATTTGGTAAAAAGAAAAAGTCGTATTTACGTTTGCACTTATAAATGCAAAGCTTTCTTAAGCAGCAATAACACTACAGAAATCCCAGTAGTAAAATTCTAGAGCAAGAAAAATTAAACCAGTTGTTTTAGATATTTAAAGGTGAAAACAAAGTAGTTTTGAAAAATCATTTAATTGCCAAGTATGTGTTAAAAATTCAAAAATTAAAATTACCCTTTTCATATTGAAAACAAATATATCTGATTCATTTTCAAAGATTCACTTCATTAACCATTCAAACAAAGGCAACTTCAAACACATATCAGACATGTATCACATAGAACATCTACCATTTTCAAAGAACTACACTTAGATATTCCATAATTCAAACTTGAAAAATACGCATCTAACATAGCCAAATGAACAAAACCGGAGGATAAGAGAATTGCAAAATTCGGTGGTTCTTAATGTCATCCATTCTAACAATTAAGATATCATAACCAAAACAAGAGAAGGCATTTCTGAAACTCTCCACTCAAACAAGAAAAAAGATAACAGCTTTCAATCACCCTTCTTCCTAAAAGAGCATCCCTCAGTTAGTCTTGCCCGTCCACCAGTTGGCTGGCACAAGACAGTCTGGCAGTTCCCACATACAACAACAGTCTGAGAGTGGCTAAACACAGTCGTTCTGCAGTAAAAATTCCATACCAATCAAAAAACACAATCAAACTGACCTAGTTCCCAATTAAAATCAATCAAAAATACACAACCCAAACGACCTAGTTCCTAATTAAAATTAATCAAAACTATACAATCCAACTGACATAGTTCCCAATTAAAATAAATACAATAAATACAATCCAACTGACGTAGTCCCCAACTAAATCAAATAAAAAAGAATACAACTAACCTACCTAAGTTCCCAAATAAATTCAATAAAAGCAAAGAAACAACTTACATGTTAAAGCAACCCTGACACTTAACATCCTGCAAAAGAAGAAAAAGATCAACAAACCCAGTTGGACAATAACTAAAAATTCATCAGAGTAATATCCCTTTCAAGAACAGCAAACATTAATTTGGGCAAAATTTTCGTTTCAATCAAAGGAAAATTAAAACAGAGTTGGAGCATATATGTGACAATACCATGAAGAAAGAGTTTGGGGACTGAACAAGACGCTTAAGTTTGTGCTTCCTCTTCTCAATCTCAGCGGGAGGATTCAGCAAATCAATATCATTTTGAAGAACCTATTTAACACACAAAGAAACAGTTATTCATCAAGACCAAAAAATTAAAACACAGTTCAGAAAATCCGCCAACAACACATAACGTGAAAAGGG